TTCTTTAATTTGTTTCTATTAGTTTTATGGAATTCATCTATAAAACTAGTTAAATATATTCACTAAGACATAAAAATAATCTCTATCATATTGAATGTGGGTATTACAAGGCCTAATTCGAGGATTCCCCCAATTCCCTGTCCATCCCTGATTTGACCAATCTTTATGGCCTATTGAGACATTTACCTCTTATCAGCACCACGGAGATCTACTTGATAGTGCCGACAATGGCAAACATCAAACAACAACCCCATCAACTAGTTATTATTTAAAATTATTTATAAAAACATAGAATTAATTAAATAGTCATTTTATAGAAAAAAAATAAAAATATGTTAATAGTTAGGGTATTTTTGTAATGAACATTCCATAAACAACTTTGATTTTTAAAGTCACCTTTACTATTATAAATTTTTATAATACAGATTGTTTTCATAATCAACTTTTAGTATAATCATTTTCACATGATTTTACTAGATGCTTTTTAGCTGGCAGCTTAAGGACTAAAAGATTATTTTTTAAATACAAAGTCTCAAATTAAACCAATTATAGATTTTTACTTGGAAAGATTTGAAACTCCGATTGGGTTTTAGACTTATTTGGTCATATGTACTTGTAATCTTTGATTGGATTTTGGACGTATTTAGCTACATGATTGTACTTATAATCTTTGATTTGATTGTGAACTTATTTGTTTATTATTATAGGTATTGATATAAAATTTCTATGAGACTGATGATGGCAGGACTAAAATGTCTTATTTAGTTATGTGATGGTTTTGAAATAGATTTTGATTGTTATTACTAACATATTTACATTTGTTTGTGTATGTGAATTATTTTCAATGAAGCAAATTGTAAATTAACCTTTAATTTAGTTACGTAGAACAAATTAAAAATATGAAAATTTGTTATTATACATTGTTATTTAACTTTGAAAAAAAAAAAAAATCTATTTCATCACTTCCTACAAAGATAATTTCTAATCTTACATGATGTCCTTATTTATTTATTTTTAATTACTATCATTTTTACCATGGAAACCACCCCAAAATATATTTGACTCAATTAATATTATTTCAAACTGAAAATAAATTTTGATTCTACTCATACTTAATTAGATATCTCTTTATCCTTGCTTGTTGTTAACGGTAATATTAATATAATTAAAATAATAAAAAATAAAATTCAATGGCCAATCACTTTTTGATGTCAAAACAATCAAGAGATGACTAAACGTATGAAATAAGGTATGATAAAAAATACCAAATTGTATCAAGAATAGGATAGTGGATTGGGTAAGAAACCACTCAAGATCTTAATATTTCATTCATATAATAAAAAAAAACTATTCCTTTAAGGGTACAAAGACCTTTATTTACTAGAAATAACTATAACTAGTTCGGAAAAAAATAACCTAATAATTAAAACAAATCTTATTCTAATATGGAAAACGTCTAAAGCAAAAAATCTAATTTAATTAGAACTATTAAATAAAATAGAAATTTAGGAATAAGAAAGTCTAAATAATAATTTTTTTTTTTTCTAAAGAATTTTAATAATATATTTTCTGGTCACTTTTATTGACTTGAAGCTAGCGCTGCCGTAATATATTCATTCTAAAGATTTTACATTTAAGTACAAATTTCATGTTAAGTAACATGGGAAGTCTATCTTAATTTGAATAGTAATTTTGACTTAATGGTAAACCTTTTAATTATTCCAACCGCAAATAAGGCATGGGCATTTGCAGTTACAAGATTTCATAAAATTCACAAGCCTTACCTTAAATTGCTGTATGTCGGTAATTTCTTTTTAAACGTATCTCTCTCTTTTTGGCATAAAACATACATCCTTTAAGTTAATTTTTCAAATAAGCGTGAAGAATATCAAGTACCCATATACCTTTAAGGACTCCTAAAACCAAGCTTGTACATATCTGTCTTTCTCTAATGAAAAAATCACTCCATCTGTTGTATTCTTCTCTTTTAAAATGCAACTAAGGCTTAATTTGATTTTTATTTCTCTTTCATTTCTTTTTGTGTGATAATCTCTTCATTGATCCTACTAAGAGTACATTTTCTGGGAGCCAGAGAGACTGGTAAGGGCAAATGGAGAAAAAGATCGTCGAAAAGGGCCAAAACTGACTTGTTTAGTATATCCTTTTTTCACTTTTTTTTTTGCTTGGTGTTGTTTTGCATCGATTATTTGGTTGTAATTGGTGCAAAAAATGGCTATACAAATTTAGTTAACAACTTTGCTAATGGCACGAGTACTCACATTAGCTACTGGCAGTGTCAATAATTTGTTAACAATGAAATGAATCAGCTCCAGAGAATAATGAAGGGAGAATGAAAAAAACATATATCATCACATGTAGCGGATTCATGCTTAGGTCAATACATTTATATACATGATCTTCCAAGCCGAGAAACAATGAAATCTCAAGATTGTCGATCACTAAAAAATGGTCCAATATGTGCCCGCTATGAAGAACTCAGGTCTTGGTCCCGAATGAAGAATCTTAAAGAATTTTTGCTAGCAATAGTTGGTTTTCGACGAATCAATTCTATTAGAAGTAATATTTCATAATAGGATGAAGAGTATAAGTGCTTAACGAGTAATTCATCGTTAGCATCCGCCATTTATGTACCTTTCTATGCTGGTCTTAACGTCGGTCGCCACCTTTGGGGTTTCAACACTTCTGTGAGAGATCTTCGGCTTTTGATATGGTGAAGTGGCTTAAAGCGAAACCTGAATGGAAGCGAATGTGGGGGTAGAGATCATTTCTTTGTTGCCGGTAGAATTGCTTGGGATTTTCGAAGACGAAGAGAGATCGATTCTGATTGGGGTAACAAGCTTATGTCTTTGCCTGAATCTATGAACATGACAATGTTGACAATTGAATCAAGTTCATGGAGCAATGAATTTGCTATCCCATACCCCAAATATTTCATCCTTCTAGTGAAAGTGAAGTGCTCCAATGGCAAAACAATAAAAGAAATCGTAGAGGGAACTATTTGTCTCTTTTGTTGGGCGTCACGGCCTACAATTAAAGATTCAATTAGAAGTGGGATCATTAGTCAATGTTAGCTCAAGGAGGGTTTGCAAGTTTCTTGATTGTTCTTCTGATAAAAAAGTAGGCGACAATCCAGTTGAAGTGATGAAGGTATTTCAAGACTCAGTATTTTGCTTACAGCCACCCGAGATTATACACGAGGCGATCATTGTTCGATTCAATTCTAGCGGGATGCATTCCAGTTTTTTCATCCAGCTTCTGCTTTTGATTAATATATGGTATTTTCCCAAGAACTACACAAAATATTCTGTGTTTATACCAATGAACATAAAAGATAGGAAAGTTGGTATTAACGATACTTTGGTTGGAATTACAGAAGAAGAAATTCAGCATGAGAAATGAGGTAATGAACTAATTCCAAAATTAGTGTATGGAGATCCGAGGGGGAATATGAAGGAGGAGGTTGAAGATGCATTTTCCATTGCAGTTAGAGGAATTCTTAAGAGGGTAGAGAAAGTTAGGAAAAAATTGAAAGATGGGAAAGTCCAAGCATTGGATTTGCAGAAGAGAACAGTTGGACATTTGAAGAGCATGATTTAGTTCGATTTAAGAATAAATAGGAAATTCATGAAGAAATATTATTTATAGTGCATTAATTTGCAATGCATTTGCAGTTGCTTATTTACCGTCCGAATCTTAAAAACATGTGTTACTGTAAGAGTATGTGAAATATATATTAACCCAATTTGTTAAGATCCTATAACTTAATTTTTTTATTCTTTGTGAACCATTCATCTTTTTGATTCAATGGTAATAAGTGAAAGGTCTAAATTAGTACATTTAATATTAATTCAACATCACTATCACCGTTAGATTGAAAAAGATGAACAGTTCACCAGATAAAAAATTAAATCACATACATATATATTGCTTTATAATCTTCTAGAATGTATATGTCCAGCATATATCTTTAATTGGCTCTTTTTTTAATATAAACTCAGCAATTAAAGGAGATTTCAAATCATTTCTCCAACATGTTCTCTCCTCTTTAATTCATTTAGAAATTAAAACCAAAGATAGTATAGCACTTCTAACTTTTAATTAGGCATGGCAATGTTCCCCGGGATTTCAGGGACCCGTCCCGCCCCACCCCCTATGGGGCGGGAAGCCCCGGTTTTTTTTGGGGATAGGGGTGGGGGGGGGGGTGTTTTAATCCCCGTCCTCGGGGATGGGGCGGGGGTGGGTGATGCCTTTCCCCCGGTCCGCCCCGTATTAATATATAAATTAAAAAAATGTTATATATATATATTATTTACTTTTCACTAATATCCCTATATTTCACCTAATACACAATTATCCTACCTATATAAACCCATATTTTCCTAATTTCCCTCACCCTAAAAATTGAACAAGAAAAAACCTGACCCATATTTATGTATAATTAATTATGTTTAAACGATATAAGTGTTTGTCATGTGGATGAGAATTAATTATTGTGTTGATAATATCAAATTAATTTATGTTTATATAAAAATTAACGGGACGGGGAAGGGGAATTCTGTCATCCCCGTAACGGGGATGGGGCAGCGGTGGGAAATGATTTTGAGGGTGGGAAGGGTACAGTGAATGAGATCCCCGCGCCCCGCCCATTGCCATGCTACTTTTAATTCTAAAATCTGGGATTGTATCCCTCGCTGAGGATAGGATTCATAAGATTTATTCTTATATCATAAAATGACATATTTTGGTTTGATTTATTTTATATAATTAATTGAGTTGGTTAGGTACGACAAATCTTTATAATTCTTGACGCGTCTTTCATTGACGATATCATCAATGACTGTAATGTGACCCCAAAGCATGTAAATCTTAAACTTATTGCATTTTAGGTGCCTTTGAAATAACTCCATTTTATAATCATCCTCATTAAATATATGCCAAATTTACAATCCCATTAAGCTCAAAAACTCATATTCTTACAAATGAACCCCCCAGATGTTGCCTCTTCCAAAGCTCCCACCAATTCAACCTCTATTGAATCCGTTGAATTATCCATCACAAAACTAATCAAAAATTGCCACAGAAAGCTTGAATGGCAAAACATCTTAAATCCTAACACAGCGCCATGGAGAAGTCGCCTAGTCGATTTTTTAGAATCAATCATTGTTCGCGTACTCACAATCATACTGCTTATTGTCGATCTCATTGTCAGTATTCTTCAACTTTCTTCTTCATTATTGTCGTGCACACCTAAAAAAAAGTACCATCTAGAACATGTTTGGTACCATTGGGTAGAGATTGGTATATTAATTCTACTTTCGGTTAAAATAGTTGGTTTAGCAATAGGACTAGGCAGCTCATTCTTTAGACGTCCGGGCTATGTGATTGATGGAGTTGTTGTAATTGGAGCAATAATTTTGGAAATATTTTTGAAGGAAAAAGGAGGTGGGTTGATTGTAGTGGTGAGTTTGTGGCGAGTTCTGAGATTGGTAGAGAGTGCATTTGAGTTGAGTGACGAGGCAATTGAGGCACAAATTGAAGGTATTTTGTGCCAATTTGAAGCTCTTAAAGATGAGAATATCAAACTTAAAGAGGCGATCGGTGAGAAAGATAAGATGATAGAAGAGCTCCGAGAAGAACTGGATCAGTTTAGATGTATTTGTCTGCGTTCGTTACAGTAAGCATATGTATATATATTAGGTAGTTTAATTATTCTATATTTAATTTTTTTTTTAAATAATTCTTATTAATTGGACTTAAAAGAAGAAAACTTGTTCGTGTTGCAGGCTGTTTTAACCATTATATTATTTCTTGAGTAATAGTAAATCCGTAAACTTCATTTATTTATTAATTATTCAAATCAACAAGGGCATGAATATTGAAATTCAATATATATATATTTATATATATTTCTGGATCCGGAAAAATTTGGGTTCTATGATAATTTTAATGCTGTAATTGCAAGAAAAAATAAACTAAGAAGGACTAAAAAGTAAATGAGCAGGATAAAGAGACTTAAGAGTAATAGATCTTATTAACTCTTTTCAAGTGTTGCGTCCAAATTTTGAAACGGGCTGAATTTATATCAATTCTTCACCGACCAACCTCCCATAAGGACCAATTACACAATAGCTAATCATAGTACATGTGTTTTCAAGTGACGTTGCAAGAGCCATGTGCCAAATTGGTGGAAGTGCACTTACAACACGCCCCATTGGACATCCACCATTTATAGGTAATTGCATTTACCTTACTCAAAAAAAAAAAAAAAAGCCATGGTCGGACAAAAACCCAAGTAAAGAAATACAATTTTATAATGAAGCTGTAAAGTGGTGTTAGACGTGCTTCATACTGTCTTATTTAAAAACCTTGCTAGAAAAACCCAATTAGACAAAATCTAGTCAAGGAAAAAAGAGTACAGTGCACATATGTCCAGCACAATAGTCTTTTTCATACTCACCCTAATCGACGCTCCTTCTAGTCAACGCTCCCCCTCATAGTGGCAAAATTGACTTAGTTACTTATTAAGCTGCTGCATACCAATGCCATACAATAACTTTTCAAATGTTGATGTTAGTAAGATCTTAGTGAATAAATTTTCAAGATTATCGCTAGAGCGTATTTGTTTGACATCAATCTTTCGACTTTGCTGGAGTTCGTAAGTGTAAAAGAACTTAGATGAAATATGTTTAGTTTTGTCTCCTTTGATACATCCTCCTCTAACTTGAGTAATACATGTTGCACTGTCTTCATTTATAATTGTAGGAGTATTTGAGGTACATGATAACTTGCATGTATTTTCGATATGATGGATGACAAATAGTAACCATACGCATTCTCGATTGGCTTCATGAAGCGCAAGAATCTCGAAACGATTAGAAGAAGTAGCAACCAATATTTGTTTTGTATAGCACCATGATTTTGAAGTGCTATTGTAAGCAAAAACATATCCTTCCCTACAAGCGGGCTTTGTGGGATCAGAAAGGTACTCAACATCTATATAGCCAACTAATTTAGAATCATTAACAAATTTTTTTGGATAAATAATCCCAAGCCTTTCATTTTATTAAGGTAGCAAATTATATGTTTGGTCCCATTCTACTATCAGCCAGTTGGTTTAGAGCTAAATATTGCCAACAAATTTACCGAAAATGTTATGTTCGGTCTTGTACATTGTGCTAAATATAGTAGTGCACTTAATACCTTCAAATATGGTTCTTCAAGACCAAGTATCTTTTTGCCATCTTCTTTAGGATTGTAAAATCCTAATATGGCAAATGCTCCTATAGGAAAGGGGGGGTTGGGGGAATAGGAGATTAAAAAAAAAAAATGCGGAATAACAAAACCTCCAACTACCTAAATGCAATGAACAATAAATGACTTCAATGATAAGTAATAAATGAACAACAAGTAAACAATAACTAATAAGTGAGTAGAGAGAAGAGAAATGCTCAGAGAGTTTATAGTTGTTCGGAGCTTTGATCACAAACCTCTTACATCCACTTCTTCAAGGCAACCTCCTTGGAGTTCCACTAGAATCGGATTTCACCAATACAATAGTTTTCACAGGATTTCGCCTCTAGATTTACAAGACTTCACCCAAATATATGCGATAAAAACTTTTGTGAATGCTTGCCTCTAAGCTAGGCTAATACACAATGGTTTCAAAGTTCCTCTTTAAAGATATTAGTTTAGTACAAATGAGAGATTGATTTTGATCAAGAGTGAGCTCTAGGGTTTGCAAGATTGAATGTTGGCTAATGCATTGTTCTCTCTCTCTCTCTCTCTCTCTCTCTCTCTCTCTCTCTCTCGTGCAATAAATCGCCCTTTTTAAAGTCTTCACTAACCCTTATTAAATTAGAGTCGTTGTATTTAATGCACTTCTATAAAGCTGTAGAACCCAAAGGAACAGGCGTTCCTGACACCAACGGTCACTCTTCTTTGAAATGTAGGGTTTGGAATGATCATTCTCTTACAAGGAATGGTCATTCTCCTATCGCAAATGGGCATTTCATCTTGGATCTCTTGATGTCCAGAAATTCTAGAACCTTAAATGACTTCTTTGAATAGTTTCATTCCTTCCTAGAATGGCTTGAAGAATTCTGGGAATGGGCGTTCGTCGAGGTCGTTCTTGTTTGACTTGAAGTTTCCACAACCTTGACTTGAGCTCGAAAATTCTAAGTCCAAAATCTTGACTCTAGCTTGGAACGGGCATTCTTCTTATGGAACGGGCGTTCTTCTTCAGATTGCAAAACGTGTCAAGGTTCTAGAGTTATGAATGAGGTGATTGAACAACATTGTTCATGTGGAACGGGCTGGATGAATGGTCGTTCTTCTCTGTCGTTCCTTCTTAGATCGCAAAGGAAGTCCAGCTCGTAGATGTGTGTTAGCCTTTTTGGATAAGATCTTGAGACGTTTGGAACGGCTTGTTGGAACGATCGTTCAATTTGGTCGTTCCTTTTTAGACTTAAGTTTCAGCTTGAATGAATGTTTGATTCATTTTGGACAAAACTATGAACGAGGATGAGGAACGATGTCATTCCAACACTACAAGAAATATATTATATTGTAACAAAATTAATTTTGTCAAATGTTATTTTGTCACGAGTAATATAGTTATTATGACAAAATAAAGAAACATCACATTAAGTATGACAAAGAGAATATACAGTGACTAAAAAAAATATTGTCATAATATTTTATCACAATAAAGAAACACATAATAAATGTAGTGAAGAAAAACTTTTTTATCATAATATTTCGTCACAAATTTTTTGTGCCTAGGTAAATTGTTTGTTGTGACAAACATATTTTGTCATAAAACATTTTAGTCACTATATTTAGTTATACATGCTATAACTATAAATTATTTTACCACAGAAAGAATTTATTTATTATTAAATTTTTTTTCATAATATATGCTGAAATAGAGGTATTAATGATAAAATGTTTGAGTCAAAATTTAAGCGTCGAGATATATTGTTTATCGTGACAAACATATTTGTCATCAAAAACTTTAGTCACTATATTTAATAATACATGCTATAATTACAAACTCATTTGTCACAAAAGAATATTTATCATTACAAAAAAAAAAAAAAAAATTGTCATTTATAAATGTTATAATGGAGGTATTGGTGACAAAATATTTGAGCTAGATTGAACATGATATTTTGTGACAAAAATTTGCTAAAAAAACATATAATATGGTCTCCTTTAATTTTTATTTTTAAAAACTCGAAAAAGCCAAAAAATTGTAAAAAATACAAAATCATTAATAATTTTAAAAAAGTAAATATTATGTACCATTTTTAGCTTTAATGATAAAAAAATACAAATCAAATTTAATATGAATACAAATATTTACATTTTCGGCTTTAATGTTATAGACTTAATATTTGGATCACATGTTAAATATTAATTTTTGTTTTACACGTTCACATCAAAGATGAAATTACAAAAATAAATCGATTCAGTCATGGTTACAAAAAGGGAAAAAGGGAAAAATTGAATTGGGCGAAAAAGGGAGAAAGGGAATTTCCTTATGAACTCTCCTTTGATTCTCCTAATTTTCTTTGGTGTTACAATGAAAAAGAGAAAATTTGGATTGAGCGAAGAAGGGAAAAATTGAATTGGGTGAAGTGAGCCGTCTTTGATCTCTTCTATTTTTTGTAAAATTGAATTGGAACTACCAAATCCTGAAAGAGGAAAAATAAAATGCAAGAAGGAGAAGAAGTAGGGAGAAAGGACAAACATACTCTAAAACACAATTGTTTCCCTCACACTTTAGTTGTGAGTTTGTATTTTTAGATAGATAATATATATAGAGAGAGTAAGGAAAAAAACAAATGAGTAGGTTTGCATAAGTGGTTAAAGGGAAGAGTTGAGAGAAGAGTGCATAGGTTCGAATCTTGCAGTATCCATTTTTTTAAAAACTGGTTTTTTCATTGGTCTTTTTTTTTTTTTTAATTTATTTCATTAATGTTTAGCAGCTCTACCAATGATCTTTGCACTAATGTTTTAAAAACCGACCCGAGGCAAAACCTGGCAAGCTGGCTGGGTCCCGGGTCGATCGATTGAACCGGATCAACCATGACGTCAGCATAGTGACATCAAGGAAAAAAAAAAGATTTCAAAATTTAAGTTCCCTGCGAGAAATTTATTAACAAAACATAAAGTAACATCAATATAATCCATGTTACAACTAATTAGGGTTCAAAATAACAAAATTCATAAAGAAATCACATAATAATTAATAGTTTAATACACATTTTAGCAAAACATGGTCTTCTTCACACAATGATCTTCATTCTTCAATCCATCCTCAATTCACCATATGTCAGGTCACATATCATTATATCATTATCAACATCATCTACAAAAAAATTCATCAAAAAATGAAAACCATAAGTTAAAACTTCTCATTTTAAAATTTAAACTAATTGAATTTAAACTAGCTACCAAATTCAAATTGCTTTTTAACACACCAGCCAAGCAAAACCGAAAACCCAGAAAACCTTAGCCCACACCACAAGGGACTGTAGCAACCAAAAACACACCGGCCAAGCAAATATCTGGCACGAAAGAGGGGACCGCAGCAGCCATAGATCCCATAAGCAGAAGAAGTTAAAACAAATTAGTTTGTTTGCTTATTATTTGCTTTTACCTTAAGGCCCATTCT